TTTTTCTTCCTTTTTCTTTCTCTTTTTCTCATTTTTCTCTCTTTCTTCCACACTCACTCTCTTTTTCCCTCTCTCTCTCCACGCCGGCCAAACACCCCGATGAGGATTCTGGTGTCCGTTTTTGACACATCTCGGCTCGTTGTATAGATCTCGACGAGTTGACCACGTTGACATGTTGCATGCCTCCAACTCCGCCAAAATCAGCCGCAATCATCGGCTGAAGTTCCGAAAACAACTATGATCACGATATTTCCTCCGTCCGACATCCAATCAAGGTGATTCTAGTTCCTATGTAATCAAAACGAAGAGATGAAGAAAACCCATCCTTTTTCATAGCTCGATTCTGACCGGAGAACCACCGTCCATGGTGGCCGGAGTTCCCGCCACTATCACTGCCGTTTGCCAGAAAACAGAGCCGCCGCCGCCGCCGCCGTCTGAGGAGGTAAGGGGTGGTTCTGACGATCTAACCATTGGATTGTTGTGATTTTAGTGTCAAAACACTGAGAAAGAAGTTAGTAACAAAAGCCCTCAACCAATTTTGAGGTCTTATAGCAGGAGAATTAAGATCAAAGTCGCCAAATTTTATCAACGTTTGTGGGTTTGATCGGAATAGATAAAACCTGAATTGGGTGAAATTGACTACACCATTGAACTCAGAATGGTTGATGTAGGGGGGGGGGGGGGGGGGGGGGGTTAGGACTCAAGTCCGCCGTGAAAATATGCTCCGGCAACCTCCGCCGCTGTCGGTGGCCGAATTCCGGCAAGTCTCAGTTCTTGAGGTTCCCGATGTCCGATCGAAGATTTGAGATCATATCCTCACTTGTTTTGACATGCTGAATGCAATAGTGACATTTGTTTACGCCAATTCCATTCCGTTGATAAGTCTACCAGTACTGTGTACGCATATCGAGGTGAATCCAATGAATTCGTTGAGGTTCAGAGTGAGTCGTGGAGCTGCAAGAATAGACGATTGGGCAGCATGAAGTTATATGTTGACTAAATTGCCAAGAAGTTTGATATTCTTACCCATATCCTTATTAGCTTTACTTTAAAAGGAGATCGTATCCTTGGGGGTATGACCCAAAACCCGTATGGGCCACTGCGGTGGTGTTTGTTTGGCCTTCCATTGGTCGCAAGTAATTTAATTACTTAAATTACTTGCTAGTTGCCTGTAATCTGGAATTTCAGTTTATTTACCTTTCAGTAAAAAGGTTGTTTGGTTTTGACTGATTCGTTCGGACCTGTACTTTCATTTATTTATTTAGTTTTATAAAATTATATCATACTCGGCCTTTTGCTCATTTTTCCTCTATTTTTAGTGTTTTAACCCCTCCCTCCAGAGTTAGCAGTTTAGATTTATAGCATGGCAAGTGGATGCTGATGGATTGAAGGCGTGAGATTAGAAGTGGTTAGTTTATTCTGAATTTGCAGTTTTTAATTCTGAGTTGTACTGTATTTCTGTATATAAACTGTATTTGGTCGATTGTGTCCCAGAGTTATACGATTTTAAATTTTATGGACTATTTTAAATATTATTTGTAAAAGAAAGACTCCGGAGCAATATATTTTAATATCTATTTTGGTATTCGTACATTTTATTTTATTTTCAGAGATTTTCCTTAATTAATTCAGTTTAATTAAGTTAAATTTTAAATTAAACCCCAATAATCACGTCCCTCTCCTTGGGGTCGTGACAGTTTTTGGTATTAGAGCACGGCTTCAAATTTTATGGGAAATCGAGCCCGTATGAGATTTCTATTGAGTTTTATTATTTTTTTAATAGTTTTTGTATCGGGACATGTCGTTCAATACTAATTAATACATGATACAGTTACATGATACATTACATGAAATTACCTTACTGGAGTTTGTTTCATCCATTAATGTCGATTCCGCATTTTGGTCCAAATTTTTTTAAACAATATATGATACGGACCCAAAAAAAAAAAAGGCAATACATACCACATATTATTAAGTTTCTATTATGTTTATATCATTACAAAGGATTTGGAGATTACCTGTTCCCTAATTCCAAATTCGAATCGCCCTCCATGTCTCGTTAATAAGATCTTGCAACATTAAAAAACAATAACTCTAACAACTAGAGAAAACTTTTCATCTGGTTGCTAATATCTTTCCATTTAAAATCTTCTTCTTTTTTCTTCCTTTTTTTTTCCCCAAGTAAATGATGAGAAGTGATAATTGATATCATGAACAACTAAAACGTCTTAATTAGATTGATACCCTCTAGCTAAATTATCATTTACTAAACTCTAGACGGATTATTTATAAATTAGAGAAAATTTACTAAAGGACCTTTTTTGACTACATTTTTTTTTAAAAAAAATGGTCAAAATTTTTATTTTTTAAATAAATGGCTAAGCCTTTTATTTTAGGAAAATCGTCGTTTTTCTATAGTAGTCAATTAATAATTGATCGATTCATTATTATAATTTACCAATAATTTATCATTAATAAATATGTAATTTATTGATTCAAATTGATTAATTATTAATCGATTTTAGTTAATTATAAAAAATTATTGAATTCAATAACAAACTAAATTTAGTTAGTGGTAGACTTGACATTAAGTTAATTAGTGATTGATCATTAAAAAAAAGACATTTACTAATTTTACAAAACTTCACCCATTTATTAATAAAATCCTTTAAAAAAGGGCCACTTGACTCAATATCCCAATAAAATAAAAGGAATTAACGGAAGTTGTTACAAATTCTATTAGGCGAAAACACAAAACAATGGAAAAAAGCCCACTCAAAAGGGAAACTAACTGTAAATTCAGCAGAAATGGGTCCATTGAGAGACTTTCCC